GACATGCACACACCCCGGCCCCCATGCCCTCACTCTGAAGCACACACCTGTCTTTCAAACATCTGTTTCTTGGTAACAAACAATCAAATTCCTTTCAAAGTCATTCAACAAATACCCACGGAGTCCCTCGTTTACGCCGGGCTCTGTGCGAGATGCTTGGCATGTTTTGCTTCAGGCCAGATGGGAGTTCCTGAAGGAGACACTGTGCTTCCGACTTCCTCATCTTTCTAAAATGAAAATCTGAATATGCACTTAACCCTGCTCCAAACCCCTCACCCCCATCCTCTTTCCCCACTACTGCTGCTCGCAAGACAAATTCTACACTCTAACCATGCAGCGCTACTGGCCCTTCCTAACCTCTCCAGCCTCACTGGTTATCCCTCGCTTATTTGTGCATTCATTTGGTTACTCCATGAGTTTTGGGGAGCACTTTCTATGTGTCAGGCCCTGAGCTGGGTGCAGGGGCTCCCACCGTGAAGGAGACACGCCGTGTCGACATGGAGGTCAGTGTTCACTGTCTGCTTTCTGTCCTCGCTACTCAGTGTGGTATGTGGACCCAGCCTCAGTGCCACCTGGGAGCAGAATTCCAGCTTTTCCCCAGACCTACTGAACAGAAATAGGACTTCAGTTTGCAGGTGATTTCCTATGTGAGGCAGTCTGAGAGGCCCTGCTTTGTGTCTCTTGAAACTTCAGAGCTCGCTCTCACCTACTGCCCTCCCCACATGCCCTTCAGCAGACTGGGCTCCTCTGGGCCCTTCTCTCTGCCCCACTCCCACCTACATGGATTTCCGGTCTTCTGTGGAGACTTCCTTCCCAGATTTCCTAAGTTGGGGGTTAAGTGATGCCCCCAGGTGGTGTCACCGTCAACCCTAATGGCTCTGTACGTGGATGCTCCTGCAAACACCCTACAGAGGCTTTGTCTGTCTTTTTATTAACTATATTCCAAGCAGCAAGGCTACTGTCTGACATGGAAGAGTTGGTCAATAAAAAGATGCTGGAAAAAGCACAGAATCTGGTGCAACTGTAAAATTTCCAAACTTAATAAATAAAGTTTCTAAAAATTTCTCAGGAGAGGGTGGGATTTGGAGGGGTTGGGAGCAGTGAGCAGGTTTCTAGAAAGAAACCAATACTATCAACTTCATGCTTCATGTTTTATATACAGGCTTAGCCTTGTATGGAACCCCTTAGTACTAAACAGCTAAACTTTGGTGAAAATTAGAAAGAGAAGCTCCTCTCTCGGCATGGATGCAGTTCTAGGCCAAGTGCATAGAGATCTCGGCAAGCAAACTACAAGCTGGCTTCCAGGAGCCCCGTGCAGGGTATAGCCTGCATGACCGTAAGTGGTGGCCCTGCCTTGTACCCACAGTTAGACCTTCCCAGTCTGGGAAGGATGGTCATGGGACAAGCACTGGAAACCAGGTCTGGCTGTGCATGACCTTGGGTAAGGAACGTAACTTCATATACAGTAGGGGTGAACAACATCAGCCATGCCTACTTCATAGGGCTTAAAACCTCCCATAGAGTTCATTTTCTAAAATCAATGGGAATAATGACCACAGTTACTCCTGAAAATGCCTTCCCATCACCCACAAAGTAAAGCCCCATGCCCAGGCTCTGGAGACCAACGTAAGCCCACCGCAACCTCCAGGGAGGGAAGAGATGCTGATTCTGGGGTAGAACATCAGTTGAACCGATTGGCTTACATGCACAGGCCACGGCTCCCTGAAGTACAGAGCTTCCAAACACCAGGATCACCTTCGGTGAGGTGAGATACAGCGCAAGACCTTCAGCCCCAGCGGCAGCTGAGGAAACAGCAGATTCCCCTCTCCCATCTCAGACCTACTCTGGGTACATATTCACTGAAGTCACTAACTCAACTTAAATTATGTTTCCCTCTCTCTCCCATAGTTGAATTTGGGCAAGTTAAATGCATGGTCTAATGAAGCTTGAAAATGCTGAAGTGAAATATAAATTTAAGGCAATATTTTCGTGATATACCTACCCAATTAGTATTCTGTGTCGTGGAGAAGTCCCATCTGCTCAGTACACACATCTGCCAGTGTGGGAAACCTTTAACTTACTCCACTGGTTTGGGGCACACCTGCAGAGCCCCCCCATGAGAAGGCGTTGCTGGTCCGCTCCTGGGAACAGCTGTTGCTTTGAGTTGTGACCCCGCAGTGGAAGGACTACCACAGAGCCACTCGCAGTCTTTCACCTCATTCCTCTCATGCCTCATAGCGGTAGAAATAAGACCTACTGGCTGAAGGAGTGAGATGGGTGAGGCAACCACTCTAGCATGAAAGCTACAGATTTGTTGATGCCCGGAGCTAATCTCTCAGATCAGCGTGTGCACAGGCCACCAAGTGAACAGGCCTCTCAGCTGCCTACTCCAGCACTCCCAGCTGATGAAAAGTCCCAGCTGCTTCCAGATGAAAGCAATATGTTCCCTTTGCTTTCCAGAGCAACACATATCACTCTGCATGCCACCAAATAAGCACTATCCTCATGCCATCTAAGCCACTCAGAAATGTTGGGACCTACCATTCCTACATATAAAGAATGGGAGTCTTTACAAACAAAATAGTGTTTTTAAAAACAAAAACAGAGCACTATTCGACACCTGGACAGCCCTGCTCTGGCCATCTGCCCCACTTTCCTTACTTCTGACGTAGCTAATCTCCATTCAACAGGAAACCTCCTAAGAAAAGAGCACATTTTATACTTGTTATGGCTATTGACCTAAATTCTTCATTAATATCCTTTGTGGAAGTAACTGTAGCCAAAACAAATACAAATGAATAATTCACTCTGACTATTAATACTGACCCTAATGGAAAACTGGGGTCATTAAAACAAAATTTTATTCAGAAACTCTTCCTAGGGCACTACTGCTGTTACACACTCTGCTAGGGGCTGTGGAAGATGGATACAAAGATGAACTGAGTGGTGTCGGTGCCATCTCTGCCCTTCCCCCAAGAAGGCTTGAAGTCTACAAGTTCCTTCGGCCAGCAACTCACTATAAATAAACCAGCAGGAAAAAACACTAACTCTTGGCAAAAAAAAAAAGATAAAAAGACCTTGTCACTTAAACTGTAAGTGACAAGTTCCAATGTTCCTTAAGGAACAGTGTAACTCATCAATTCATATCACTTATTCCAACACATACAATTTGGTTTCAAGTACAACTCTTAGCTAATGGGAGATAAGAAATCCAAGATAGAAAGAGAGGAAGAGGATATATTTTACTCTTCCAAGCACATGAAGATATGAAATACAGAAGGGTCTGAATACTCACTGTTCTTCTTGTACATCAAAATTTCAAAGGAATTCATCTCATAGTTCTCAAATGTTTGCCGCACCTTTTCAATGGTGTCTTTATCAGTCAGCTCCCCATACATAAAGCTGCAAATCAACCAAAGAGCTTGTTAGTTAACAAATATTTATTATTCTACCAGCATATGTTAAATATGTTCCCTACCCGGCACTGTGCTATGTGGAACTAACACACATGCACACACACGCACACACAAAATGAAAACATGCATGCAATCAAAAAATATTTGCTGACTCCATCACTGTCCCCCAGAAATGAACAGTCTAAATAAGAGAGACACACTGGAAGACCAGGAAACACGATGACGAACTCATAAGAATTACAAAACACAAGAAAAGGCACAGAGCATTGTCCAAGTAGTCAGAGAAGGGTTCCCAGGAACTAGGACAAATGAGATCCAAACTGTGGGTGTAAATTAGCTGAAAACTGGAGGGAAAAGAATACGCCAGGCAAAAGGTGAGTATATGCAAAACCACAGAAGCAAGAGTAAGGATACTTCTGGAAGCTGAATTTACTTCAGTTCTGTATGACTAGAACATAGACAGTGAGGGGCAATTTGCAACAGATAATGGAGAGGTAAGCTCAGGCCAGATCGTGGAGGGGAATATGACAATTCAAGCCATGTGAAATGACTTAAACTTTATCCTGAAAGCAATGAGGTTGTGGAAGAAGGTGGAGGATTTTAGGCAAAAGCATTATGTAATCAGATTTGCATTTTAGAAACACAGGTCTAGAAGATTTCCTAGGAAAGATGGCAGAGTACATTTGGACCACAAATTTTTCTTCTTAATTCTCAAAAAAATAAACCAAAGAATAGGAAAAGTGGCCGACCACGGAATTGCACCAAAGGGTACAACTTGATGCTCTGAATATTAAGATGGACCTAAGGAAAGTAACAACATTTAGCCACTGTCTATGCAGCTCTTTTTCCTACCATCCCCCAAAAAGAAAAAAAGCACTGGGTTAAAAAAAGTCGAGATGATAAAATCCTACAAATTCATACTAACATACTTCCCTACTGCTCACATTTGAAGAAAAGTAGACTAAGGGAGTAAATATCAGCATGAAAAAAAAAATTAGAAAACCTCTGGATAGTACAAGCTCCTACCTAATCATGCTGGTAATCAGCAGGAAAGNAAATATCAGCATGAAAAAAAAAATTAGAAAACCTCTGGATAGTACAAGCTCCTACCTAATCATGCTGGTAATCAGCAGGAAAGCTGCCAGGGCTGTCCGCTCTCCTGGGATCCACAGGGAACATGGTCCAAAGACCAAAGTGTATTCGTCTAGGAAGGGGATACACCCCCAACCAGGTAGAAAAAAACCATGGCCCAGGACTAACAAAATGCAAGAGAAAAGACTTCTCTCAACAGGGCTGGAAAAGCCAGTCCTCTAACAAAGGCTCGCCTGGAGGCAGCGAGCATTTCCCAGACCACCCCAGGCCTTCAACAAGGACAGTAAGGCTGAGCCCTCAAGTCTTAAGTAGGATAGAAATAGTGTTGTGGGTTCCTAAACAACACACTCCCCATCTCCTAAAATCGGGCATACCAAAGGTAATCTTTTTCTGGATGTCTTGAATCACAGAATCATAGAATTTCAGAGACTAAAAGAACCTCAGAAGTTATCAAGGTCAATTCCTAAACCACCAAGTCAAGTGTCACACTTAGCTTCATACTGAAACAGCCTTGGGCTTACTGCAAGACTTCTGATTTCCAGCACCCTGTAAGAAAAGTGCCCTAGCTGGTGACTTTCCGAATTCTCTGTCATTCTTGTTATATCCCTTCCCAGCCCACTGAGAGACGTTACCATCTGTGGTTCTCCTTGTGCCTACCTCGTGCAGCACTCTGCTCTGGGGCTGTGCTCTTTATCTATAACCAGGAGAACAGATAGCCAAGCATGTTGAATTATCTTTAACAAGAAGAATAGATCAAGACTAAATTAGCCCTGCCTGAGAACCAAAGGATTTCTCATAGGAGGTAAAAAGTTAAGCCCCATGACTATTTTAGTTAGGAGGTTGCTGAGTTCAGCTTTCTCCACCTTTCTCCTTCTGAGTTAATTTTCTAGATAAGTGACCTCAACTTGAGTGACATGATGATATATATGCTGGCAATTTCCTTCACAAGGTGAAACAAAATCCCTGTAAAATGGAGTCTTTAAGTAAATGAAGTGCCATAATTACACCCAGCTTTCATTCATCAGGTGTACTTTTTCAAGCTGTAGTTTACTGGTAGGTCTATGTTTCCTTCACCTGGACATTAAATTTCAGATGCCTGCATGCAAGAAATAAGCAAAAGAAGCAACTGAACCATTAGGAATATAGCCCGCCCAGAAGTATATTGGCTTTATTTCTAGCAAAGAGACACCTTCAGAGAACTAAATAAGTTCCTTAGAATTGTGTGTCAAAAAGTTGGCTAAATTAGCAAGTCATCTGGGTTTTCTTTAAGTGTTTGATGATAGTTCATAAAAAGCAAGAAAGAAAAGGAAAGGACGCTCAAGTCACACTACAAAGTGAAGCTACCTCTCCCCATTTGTTTCGATTGTGTAAATGCACATGTAGATGTAGATGTAGACACTTAAGAGGATGCCAGCACATATAAGAGAATATAAGAGAATTCTGTTGGATTAGTTAAGAGTCATAATTTCTAAACCTTTGAATGGGGAAAAGGGATGTGAAATTTCCCAGTCCCAAAAACCTAAAATTTAAGAAAATGATACTATTTCAAAGCATTTAATATTTTCACCAAACTAGTTACTTCACTGGTTTTATACCATGAAAATGCAACTTCTGGAAACTGAAGGCTATGCCTGGGTCAGACAGGGTTTTCCACCCTTCAGAGATGAGTTTATTTCGTGATCTGGCGTTTGAGAAAATGTTTCCATTTCATGCAAACACCACTGAAGACAGAGAGTCTGAAGAAGGTGAGGAGGGAACGAAACAGAAGCTGTGCTGAGCCAAGACCTTGCCGGAGCGCTGCAGGGAACCGGCTGCCAACATCCGGGCTACACGCTCTGCTCAACACCTTGAAGATGCTTTAACAGAGTGTTTCTAATGCCGTGGCCCAAGGGTACTGTAGCTCGGCTAGTAACCCTGTCAAATACACAAGCTGCGCTGTTAGCACCATTTATCTCTGCCTCTGAGTCAGGGATCAGAGCGAGATGTCACAGTGTGAAATTAGAAGGCAAGAAAATACTGGTTCTCTTCTCCTTTCCTGATGAAAGCTCTATGAACAAGGGCTAACGTCTCCAACATAGTAGTTTATTCTTCTAAATGGCCATTTTTGAAAAGTATTTAAATCATCTAAAATTTCATTTGGGTTTAATTTTTACTCTTCTAACCTTCACATAATTTCATCTAAAACCTTATAGGCTTCTGAGTTCACAGTTTATGGATATAATGATTTGCCTGAGTTTCTCTATGTTTTCTCCCCATCTCACCGGCTACAAACATTCATCCATCACAGGGACCGTGTTCTGAGTCTGCTTTGAGATTCCCAGTACAGTGCGTGAACTACTGTTGCAATAAATGATATTATGATAAAAATTCCTGAATAAACACTGAATGAGAGAAGAGCAAGTCCCGTGTTGAGTAAGCCATTTTATTTTTCCAAATGATACCAGGATAGAGGGTTCAATGGACCAACCCAAACATAAATACCTGCAGGTACTGCTTTTTTGCATCACTTCCGCCCTGTGATAGCCAGACAGCTTGCAAAATCCATCATTGCTGTACACGATAGGCCAGTCCACTATCTGGGCATTCCCCAACACAAAATTAGTATCTGTAAAAAAATAAAGAAAGAAAGAAAAAAGGAAGAAGAAAAGAAAAGGACACATGAGACAGGCCGTTATTTGAGACTCAATGAGGATGTAAATACTGTCAACCACTCCAGGCATATTGGCTTCCCTCTAAAACCATCTCTTATAGGTCAAAGAGATAAAAAGGCACAAAATCTCTATCATAATATAAATTAGTCTTGGGGATGAAAGTTCAGTGTAGAGACTATAAGGAATGGTTCTGTAACATCTTCTATGTTGACAGGAAGAACACTAGTGGGGGTGAAGATTTAACAGCGTACATAACTGTTGAATCACCCTGTTGTATATTTGAAACCAGTATAATGTTGTATATCAACTATCCATCAATGAAAAAAATTAACAAATAAGTACATAAATAAAAGCCAAGACTTTAACGTAAAAATAAAATAAAACTGTCTCTTCAACAGGAAAATGGCCCTGTGAGAAACACAGAAGAACATTTTGAATGCAAAGGCTAAGGTTACTGTCCTCCAAGAAGTTAGCAAAGGAAGTATGCTTAACCAACAACCAACGAATCCTGCAAAAATCCAGGGGTTCCCAGGAGACATACTCAAGTCCTAATTTTTCATCTGAATGAGAGTAAGCTGGTAAAACGGATCAGAAGAGAACCCAGAAGTAATTTCTTCTGCGCTCCATCTAGCACTTTCACATCGTCAGTCTTTCGGCCAGAAATCGGCCTTGCTGATTCTGATTAGTATTTGCCCATCCCAGGAGGAGGAGGAGGCCTTCTTAGAGAGGCGGAGGAAGGGGACACACATAGGGAGCCTTCTTCTCGGTAAGGAAGCGACTAGACACTCCTAACATGGCAGACTCGGAGGACATGATCGAGACGCTTGCAATGACAAAAGCTTCCTTGCTGATTTCGAGATTCTGGAGCCGCAGAGCCGCATTTCAAAGCTTCCTCGCTGAGCGCCGGCCCACCGCTCACTTCTGCTGCAGGGATTAACTAGGCTTGATGTGTTTGGCTACAGAGCGAGCGAGCTCTCACCACATCTCACAATTTTGGAGACCCAAAGTCTTCGATACTTTCTGTGCTCAGGAAATCAACTGTTCCTCTTTCCTTTTTAAGACCTAAATTAAGCAAATAACATCCAGAACTTAAATGTGATCATTATTTTAGCCTGGCATTCTCCTCTCCAGAGAATAGTCACTGATTCTCCCCAAAAAGAACTAACAAACATGTGTGCGCCCTTCTTTCGCTATAAACCAAAAGGGGTTTTGTTTATATATGTATATTGTCAGAGTGAACTAATAGGGACATATAATATCCTTATTTAATTGGGAGACTAATTTTGTTCTAATACACACAGCATTTACAATTTACTCACAAAGTGGCACTGTTCCTTCCTGCCTATGCGGGAGGAGTAGAGAGAAGCAAGAGGAGTAACTAAACCCCGTCATCTATTCTAGAAAATGCTTTCATCTATTTAAAAGGAACATACAGCACAACTTCCACGAAGCTAATCTGAAAACCTGTTAATTTTATAAATACGCATCTAAGAAACATCTACGACCAGTGCGCCCTGTCTCTCCCACACACTCCTAAGTATTCTTGAGTGCCCACTAGGTACCAGGCACACTGCAAGACCTTGGAGGCGTCCAGCTTGAGGAAACATGAGCCACTCGCTCCAGAAACTCACCAGGACAAATGGACACATGCACAATTAACTTAAGGACAGGTAACAAAGTGACTGACTCTGCTTAAGGGAGGTAAAGGACTGTCTCAGAGGTCACATCTGAACTTGTTCTAATCTGGAAGGATGAATAAGAGTCTTTTAAAAATTTAAATGCCTAAAATGTAACTACTGCAGATGATACAAAATCAATGTTTATAGAAATGAAAATATGATGCCTGCCTTTGGCGAACTCAAGAGACTATGGGAGGGAGAGAATATTCCAGACAGAGAACCCAGCATGAGCAAAGGTCTGGCAGCATAGCAGACTGGTGTAGACAGACAAAGGGCAGCCAAGAAGACTGACAGGAGATGAGCCTGAATACCAGGCAGGAAGGGTCTTGGATGTCAAAGATCTTTGACTTTATTCCAGAGAGACAGAATAACCCTTCGTGTTGGTCTTCTCTCCCTGAATAAACTCACATTTCTTGAACTGAGCAACTAAGCCTTAAAGAAAATAAAAAATTCATTAGGTTACCCCTGAGTATATACAAAGTCTAGTCAGTTTAACTATCTATCATGTTGACTCTTGAAATTTTAGTTAGTTTCCTTCAGAAAGTCTAGAACAGGGGGGGAATGTGAGTGAACTTTTTCATTTGGCTAATACCCCACAAAGGTTATATGCTAAGAGGGAAAAATTGCCAGTTATAGATAATTTTGACTACATATGTTTACTTTTCTATCCTGGGCCCCACTAAAATGAAAGTAAATGAATTAAAAAGGTAAAATTCCACACAAAAAAATAAAGTAGAAAATGAACAGAAAAATAATGACTATGTTAGAAGCCACATGGATAGTAAACCAAGAACTTATTTAAAAAACGTCCCTAATTAGTATCCTCAAAGAGATTCAAGAGATATTCCATCCATAAAACAAGAACAAAATGCTATCAAAAAATGAAAGAACAAATAAGAGCTTCTGCATGTTAAAAGTGAACAATTAAAAATTAAACATAAATGTTAGAAGACAAAATAAAGTCTACAGGGAGTATTACAGGAAAAGTAAGAAACAAGAAATATTTTTGACAATAAGACATAGAGGATCAATCCAAGAGGAATACCCTGCGTCCTAATAGAAACAGCACAAAGAACATGAGAAGAACCCAGAAGGTTTTTTTTTTTTTAACTAAAACAACTGTGAAGGTAAAGATATTTTCAGATATGCAAAGATCTAGGAAATTTATTTCCCACATATTCTTTCATAGGAAGTTACTCGTGGAGATATATCAGCAAAATGAAGGAGTTAAAAAAAAAAAAGACAACATGGGAACTGGGAAAAAAAGTGGCTCCAAATGTAGAACCCAGGGAAAGAAGCTAATAGGAAACATTTGGTTCAGAATGGTTCAGAGAACAGAAATTCCCAAAGAGCATTATCTAAGGATAAAGAAGGTCAGAATCTGTTAGAATTCTTGACAATTTGGAATGACATAAAAAGCCAATGAAAGTGTATAATTTGGGGGGCAGGATAGGAAATTAGAAACACCAAAGAAAACAAAAGCTATGCAAGAAGGGAAACCAAGTCACACTATGTCACATCACTGTCATAACAATGTTAACACATTATTAATTTCCAACTTTTAAAACCAACATATAGTCAAAGAATGGAATATTTAGTTATAAGTATCTGAATATAGCCTCATCAGTTCTGATACTGCAAAAATACAAATGACAGACTTAGAAAAGAGAGAGTAAATCATGAGATGATGTCTACAGCTGATATAATGAAAAAGAAGGTATAAATATTTTACTTATAGGATGTAAGTTTTTTCTTTATAAGCTCTTCATTTTGACCTTTTTAATCCTGAACATATATGACTTTGTTAAAATGAGTACATTCTTAATTTTTAATGAATTTAATCAGAAAAGATCAATTTACTGATTAAATTTTACATTTACTAAGAAATGAGAGCAGGATACGTTTTAAATTCCAGATATCACTGCAACTTCTCATAAAAGTATTCTGATCATCCTTTAAAGGTATTCCTCATTCTTTAAGCATTCCCACTGTCTTAGAGGGCATAGGACAGCCTTATCTGGGGGAAACCAAGACCACAAGCATTTTCTTTCATTCTAGAAAGGAAACAAATACAAAGCACAGTAGGAATAGAATCATCACCCCACAGATCAGCCACTCAGAGGATTTTTCTTATCATAAAATTTAAAATTTCAGAGTAGTTTCCTCTCACTGCAAGCAAGAAATTACAGCTTCCAGGGAGCAAGATTCCCTTGTCACTATGTGACAGAAGGTCTAGGAGTTCTCTCTTATCTAATGACTTGGGGTGGTCACAAAGCCATTTGCTTCCAACAGGGAAGAAATTCTTCCCCCTTCCCCTCCCCAAGCCTTACACACACACACACATTCCCTGCTATGATTGCCTAGAAAAAGGGAATATTCTGGATTTTCTTCCATTTCTCAGTTTTAAATAATTGACCTGCAAATAACCTTTCACAGCACCATCTGTTTGTAATCTGGGGGCCACCCATACAAATGCCATAACTTCACATATACCATCAGGAAATAAAGGATTCCACATAAGCAATATTCCAGGTATTAATGAGAATGGGTACCATTTGTTCACATTTACTCTGTTCCAGGCTCTGTATTAAGTACTTTATCATATATTAGGGTGGGTATTTTTTAACCTTTAGAACAGTCTTCATGAGGTGGTACTACTTTAATGAATGAACTGTCATGGATTTCATCATTTTACTCTTGAACAAATTGAGTCTCTTAAAACACTGTCAATTATAACAGGTTAGAGTTAGGGTTTGAACCTTGGCCTATCTGACTTCAAAATCCATGTCTTTAGTCATTATATGACATAGTCTCTTTCTTATTCCATTAAGTATTAAGATCAGACCATGTCTATGAAAATCTTTGTAACACATTAGATTTATGTGCCTTCCTATAAGAATACTAGGCATAATAAGACCTTTAATTGGTGTCATCATTATTATTGTCATCATGTTAGAACTCTATCTTGTGATAAACAATGATATCCTCAGGAAATGTTGACTTGGATAGAAGTAATTGTTCCTCCTCTAAATGCTTGGGTTTTCCTGTCTATCTTTTCTAAGTTGTATCTCATTCCTCAATTGGAAATAATCACCTCTTCTTAAAATTTAGCATGCTGACCTATTTCTATAATAGTCCAGCTTCCATACAAGGATAGAAGGGGAGGGCCAGCAGGGGAAAGGAGACTTTGTGCCTGGATCCCCATTTGACAGGCAAGGCAGGAGGGAGAACACTACTCTTGTGACTCAGGGTTGATGCACAGCAAACCTAGCCGT